TATAAGATTCCAGTAAAAGTTACATCAAGAATTAAAATCCCGGCTCGGCACCTGTGGCTCAAGTGGCTAAGGCGCCAGCCACATACACCTAAGGTGGCGGGTTCAAATACAGCCTGGCCCGCCAAAACAACAATGTCGGCTGCAACCAAAAAAAAAATAGCTGGGCATTGTGATGGGCGCCTGTGGTCCCAGCTACTTGGGAGGCTGAGGCAGGAGACTCGCTTGAGGCCAGGAGTTGGAGGTTGCTGTGAGGTGTGATGCCATGGCACTCTACCCAGGGGGATAGCTTGAGGCTCTATCTAAAAAAAAAAAGAATTAATTAGCTGGACACAGTGGCAGTTGCTTTGATCCCAGCTACTCTGGAAGGTGAGGCTGGAGAACTGCTTGAGCCCTCAAGTTCAAGCCTAGCTTGGGCAACAAAGCAAGACCTACTCTGTTAAAAAAAAAAAAAAAAGATTAATTTTATTTATTTATTTTTTGAGACAGAGTCTCATTATGTTGCCCTTGGTAGAGTGCTATGATGTCACAGCTCACAGCAACCTCAAACTCTTGGGCTTAAGCAATTCTATTGCCTCAGCCTCCTGAGTAGCTGGGACTACAGGTGCCTGCCATGCCTGGCTATTCTTTGGTTGCAGTTGTCATTACTGTTTATCAGGCCCGGGCCAGGCTTGAACCCACCAGCCTCTGTGTCTGTGGCCAGTGCCCTACTCACTAAGCTATGGGCTCAGAGGGAAGGTAGCAGAGGTGGGAAAAGCAGATGCCCTTTATATACTTTATTAGTTCTAGCCTTAATTTTATCAGGTATGTGTATCAGAATCACCTTAGGAGTTTTGTTTTTTTTTTTGGAGACACAGTCTCACTTTGTCCTCCTTGGTAGAGTGCTGTAGCATCATAGCTCACAGTAACCTCAAACTCTTGGGCTCAAGCAATCCTCTTGCCTCAGCCTCCCCAATAGCTGGGAATACCTACAGATGCCCACCACAATGACCGGCAAGTTTTTCAGAGATGAGGGTCTCTTTCTTGCTCAGGTTGGTCTAGAACTCCTGAGCTCAAGCCATCGCCTGCCTCAGCCTCCCAGAGTGCTAGGATTACAGGGGTGAGCCACCTCACCCAGCCCACCTAAGGAGTTTTTCCAAACACACATGTCTGTACCATTGTCACCAACAATATCCTACGTCCAAAACTAATCAGTTTATCTAGGGTGGAGCCCAAGTAGGCATAGGCTGAAAATGCTCCCCAGGTAATTCTGATACACATTTTTATGAATCACAGCTCCAGACAAACTTTTATCTAATCAAGATGACACTCAACTGACTTCACTAGGATTAAGAAAAAAGACTAGAAGGAAGACAGATAAAAAAATTGGCAGGCGGCACCTGTGGCTCAAAGGAGTAGGGCGCTGGCCCCATATGCTGGAGGTGGCAGGTTCAAACCCAATCCCGGCCAAAAAAAAAAATTGGTAATTTTGTGTACAAAGTGTTAAGAGGCAAAAAATGAACAAATTCCTGATTTTTGGCATTATGGCAATTACTTTTCTTTTTATCATTTCTTTTGTTTTTATTTATTTATTTTTTTTTGAGACAGAGCCTCAAGCTGTCCCCCTGGGC